TCACACTCCGTAAATGGTTCTACAAACTTTTCTTGCTAGTAGGCTTATAACAAGCAGCCTTTAGTGTGGCCTAGATATCTGCATGGATCAATATGGCCTGAGCTTGTCTGGCTTATTTTAACAGATATGTTGCCAGATTCAGATGCTATTTTTCATGCTGACTAATATCTCAGGTCATCCTATTAATTTCAGTAATGCTACTCAGACTGCAATGCTACCTAGCAAATGAGAACACAGTCGGGCTAGTTACAGTTATGTGACTGAATTTTTAGTACTAAGCACAACATAGCCTACCCAACTTATTTGATTTAGCAGGTGTCTTGCTGGCATTTGAAGTATTTTGCATATGATTATAATGTATCCTGAGGTGGGGGAAAAAAAAAAAAAAACAAACCCAAACACCACAAAACAGTTTATTAGTAAGACTTCTTGCTGTTCTGCTAAAATATGGCAGTCAAAAAGACAATTTACATTGCAGAGACTTGACTTTTTACTTTCCAGGACTGTAAAATAAAACCCAAAACCCTATGCTTTCTGCATCTGGTTGACATTTGAATAAAACTGCCAGAGTGCAAACAAGTTTTGAGACAACATCTCCAGCAAACTCTGCAGTGACTCTAAAAATATTCTTGGCTAAGTTACTTTTTAAGGCCATATGTTAAAAAAAATAAAACCCAAAACTTTATTAGAATTTATTGCAACAAGAGATTTGCCAAACTACTTAAGACATTTGGGAAGATTATAGTGAAGTACATTAGTTGCTGACTTGACAATTTGCTATGCTCACTGCTTGTATAGTGGATTCTTGATATTCACTCTGAGACTTGATCCAACTTTCTAGTACGTTTTAGGAAGAGACCTGCCAAGTGTCTACTGGCTTATTAAATGCTGGCAAACCAAAGGTCAGCCTTGTTTATGAGGCAAAACAAAGCTGTTGTGAATGGCACACAGGCCCTCCTCATGGCATTTTTCTTGTTTAAATTCAAAGTTCCAGCACAGGATTGGATAAGGTTTGGACGGTTCTGATTGGAGTCTCTCTAGGTCTGCCCTAGTGTCCCCTGGCCATGAACCTGGAGGCTGCAGAAGAAGGAGTTCTAGTTCCATTGGGCCGTGTTTCCTCCTTGCTTTGTCTAATGATCACGCTGCCTGCGTGGTCCTGTTTGCAGAGGCATGGGGCAGAGTGTGCCTGCCCCGTGCAGCCCCGATGAGCAGGCAGAGCCCCCAGCCGCAGAGGACAAACTTGCCCTTCCTTCTCGGCCCACCCCTTCCTCCTCTCTGGGAGCTCATCCCGTCTTCCAGGCAGCTGCCAGGGTGAAGAGGGAAACCTCCGCTGCACCCTGTGTCTGATCCCAAGCTATCTGTGACCAAGGGAAACTTGTTGACACCTCCGGACTTCCCATCAGACTCTCCCTAAGTGTGCCCAAAGTGGCAATTCTGCTGTGCTCACTGTTACTGATTTTGATATCAATCCAGTTTTACACGACTGAAGATTATCCAGGTACGATATGCAAGTCTCCCTGTAAAGGTGGACCCTTGTCCTCCTTGCCAGAGCAAACACTCCTACAAAGGCAGTGGAATCACTGTCAGAGTCAATAAAATCTTCTTGCATATCATATTATAGTGAACACCCCGACATTTCTTACATCCTTACTACATGTATTTATTATATTTGTTTGACTTACATGCAGGAATAACAGAACACTCCTTCCTTGACTCTATACCTAGCTGCTTTGCAAGTATGTTAGGTAGCAACGTATTAAAAAAAACTAAGCAATTAAACGCTTGTTTAAAACATAAACACAAAAAATTAAAACTTGCTTGTTTAAAATGTTTTAAGGTACAATCAGTTTAGAAAGGTTTGTGTAATGGATAAAAAAACGTATCCAGGTTTACCTTAGTGTAAATGCTGTTTATAAGAGACTGGGAACAGGGAGACTGATGTAGGAAAAAAAAAAAAAAACCCGCAATTTTATGGAAGAAAACTGCAAAAGAAATCACGGTTTTACTGGTTGGATAATACCAGAAAAGGTGATTTCTTCCCTTTTTTTTTTTTTTTTTTTTTTTTTCCCCTCCGCGATTGAGATCACCTGGGAAATCTCCACGTTTTCGCTGGAGCAAATATATGGTAACTTTATGTTCCGCGGAGGAGAAGCCTTCCTTGCAGGACGGGATCCTGGGGCGGAGCATGCCGTTACGGGGCGCGCACGGCGGGGACACGGCCGGAGCCCCTGGCCGGGCACCGGGACCCCGGGCGGGGAAGGAAGGGGGCCGGCGGGCAGAGTCAATTTGTTTCAGATTAACTGGTAACATCTCTGACCAAACAAGCGGCGGGGATCTCCCGCGTTTGGCAATGTAATCTGCTCCCGACGGAGCGGGGAGAGGGCAAGATCAAAGCATTCCTCCTCCCGGGGAAATTGCATCCGGGGCTGCCGTTTGGTTAGCCTGCCCTAACCTCGCTAATAAATTTCCCGGGAGGAAGGGAGGGCTGGGGGGGACGGGGAGCGGGGGGGACCGCGGCACCTGCACCTGCACGCCCGCCACCCCCGCCGCACCCGGGAGCAACGCAAAGCAGGGCCCTGCGCCGGGGCTCAAGGGACACCCTGTCCGCAGCCTTCGCAGTGCCCCGGGGCTGCTCTTCCTCTCCGCTTTTCGCGGGCAGCGCCCGCCCGGCGTCAGCGGACGCCTCCCCAGACCCCCACCGGGACCCGGAGCATCCTCACCCCGCCTCCGGAGGTGCAGCTACCGGCGGGGGGGTTCGCCAGTGGCCGTGCGGGGGGGTGGCAGGAGGCACGGGGGAGGCTGTGCAAGAGGAGGCTCTGAAGGAGCCCGGGAGCATCCCGGCCGCCGCTCATCGGGCACCGGGGCAGTCCGGAGGGAGCGTTATAGCGGGGCAGGTGGGTGCCGAGTCGCACATCGCGGGGCCCTCTGCCTTCCCTCGCGTGGAAATCCGTGCCTTTCCCAGCAAGGCACGGCGCGGCACCCGCCCGTGTCGGCTCACCGCGGGCGCGGCTGACGCCACCGGGCAAAGCCGGGGGCTGAGGGGGCGCGGAGGTCCCCGTGGTTGCAGGAGCGGGAGCAGCGGTGCTGGGGACCGCTCTCCGCCTTCTCCTGCCGCGGGTGCGTCCCGCCGAAGAACGGCAGCGGCACCTCCCCGGTGGGAAAGCGGAGGAGAGGCTGGAGGGGAGCGCAAACGCGCTGCCGAGCCGAGCGCAAACAAGAGGAGCAGAAGAAAGTTATACAAACACGCTTTAAAAATCATGGCTGGGTTTCACAGTTCCCTGTGGATAAAGTAAACAGGAGGCGAACTGTTTTGTAATTTACTCCAGCGGCCCGCAGAATAGTACTTTGTAATTTGGTGTCGGTTTACAACCAAAGGGGACTTCTGTTTCCTAACCTAGCAGGTCCTTTGTCATGCTTGTGCCTTTTAAGAGGGACCCCGAGGGGGGAAAGTGGAATTCCTTGGGTATTTGCCTTTTAGTCATGCTTGTAAGTCAAACAGTAGCCAGGCTCTCTTTTGGGATGAATAATACCTGCCGTCGGGGGATGCGCTGCCCTCTCCCCGCTCTCCTGGCGTGAGCACTCGGAGCCGGTGCGGCCCGAGGAGGACGAAGACTATCTCGGGACAAAGGCTCCCTCCCGCCCCCCCTCCCTCCCGGCAGGTGCCCGCAGCCCGCGGGGCGAGGCGAAGGGCCGGTGACCCACCCGGGCGGCGGGCGAGCGGAGGAGCCCACGCCCGTCCCGCCCACGCCCGTCCCGCCGCCGGCCTCTGTCCCAACGGGCTGCAGGGGCAGGGCTGTTCCGTGCCGAACCGGTGGCCGGCAGCCGGTCCGTGCGCTCACCGTGAGCGGATGCCCGTGTTTATTATACACACGAACATTATAACATTATCAGTATTTATTAAACACAGGCGCTGCTCAGGGAAAGAGCAAAATATTTTCCATGTTCGGAGAGCGGTTGCGGCCCTATGTTCTGCATATCGTTAGTTTTCGATCAGGACACTCACTGGTGGGGAACTGATGCTCTCCCTCATACTTTTTTTTTTTTTTTTTTTTTCTGGGGATGCTCGGTTTAAATTGACTAGCTCTTCTCCTGCCCGGTGTCGAACGCGACCGAAGTGCATTTTGTTCCCATTTTCACAGACGGAGGCATCGACCCCCAGCACCTCGCTGGCTCGGGCGAGACTTCGCGCGTTGCAATTTCGATCGCTGCCTGTTTTGTGAGGCCGGGGGCATTCACTCCCCAGCTCCCGAGGAGCAGCCTCCCTCAGGGAGCGGGGCGCGGAGAAAGATACTGACCAGCTCAGTGCTCTCTGAAAAACGCCACTGAGGGGAGGGGGTGATAAAAAGTAAACTAATATTTTTCCTCGCCTTAATTCCCGGCGGGGCGGGAAGACAACGCCGATTCCGTTGTATTCTCAGGCTCGGAAAAAAGCCATTGACACGAGAGTGTGTGTGTGTGTGTGTGTGTGTCCCACTCGCGGGGCAAGCAACGCGAGCGACGACAAACGCAAAGCGCGGCACCTGTTTCAGCCTATTCCACCCGCGCCCCCGCCCCGCTCCCCGGTTACTGGCCCGCGGAGAAGGTTTCCTAGCCGTCACCATCACGCGCGTTACCGACTTTCCCCCACTTTCTCCCTTTTCCCCCCTCTTTTCTACCCAAAAATGAAAGATGACCGCCCGCTTACGTTTCCCGCGCGGCGGGGCGCCCCGCCCACGCCGACGCCCCCCGTGCCCGCCCGCACCCACGGGCGAGCGGCTGGCACGCGCGCGGGGGGTGTAGGTGGGTGGGTGGGTGGGTGAAGTGGGGGCGGGGCGCCGGCGGCGCGGGCCAATGAGAGAGGCGGCCGCGCGCCGCGGGCCCAATGGGCGGCGCGGGCGGCGATGATAACGCGGCGGGGCCGGCGCGGCGGGTGCTGTGCCGCGGGGCGGGCGCGGCGTGGGCGCGGCGGGTGCCAGCCCCGGCGCTGGTGCGGAAAGCGCACACCCACAGCCACGCACGGCCAGACCCGATCCGTCTCGTCTCGTCTCGTCTCGTCTCGTCCCATCCCGGCCCGGCCCGCCACGCAGCGACCCCCCGACGGCGCGGTGCCGCGGCCGTCGAGAAGCTTTGTAGCCGCGGGTGCGGGGACCGGGAGTCCCCTGCCTCCGGCTGCCGGGCTCGGACGCTGAGCCGCGGTGAATGCAAGGTGCGGGAGGCAGGACGGGGAGGCCGGGTGGGGGGAGGAGGTGGGGGCCCGACAGCACTGCCCCCGCGGTGCAGGGAGCTCCAGGAGCCCAAACAGCCCCCGGTCGCCGGAGCGGACAGCGGCGGTGTGTGAAGCCCAGGTGTTCCCTACCTGTCCGCTGCGTCTGAACGCGGCGGGCAGGAGGGTTGTCAGGATCCTGAAATGAACGTGTCCGTGGGGAGACATGACAGCCCCGCAGCCCCGCGGCGCTGGGCATCGCCCTCGGGCGGTTCCCCCCGCATCCTCCGCCGCTGGAGACGAGCTCCTGCCTGCGGCGGGCGAGCACGGTTCCCCGGCAAGCCGGGGCGGGCGGAGCGCGGCGGGGCAGCGTCCGTCGAGGCTAAGCTGAGCCCAGCGTGGGGCACGGGGAATAGACCCGAGCAGGCGGTGAGGGGAGAGATGGCATCCCCCATCGGGCTCTGCCGTGACTCCCCGACGGGGGGTGCGTTTCAGCGGGGCTGTCGGCAGGTCGGGCAGCGGCAGGGAACTCGGTAGCCGGCTGTGCCCCGTCTGCCGTCCCGCCGCAGGGGCGGGCGGCCTGACCCCTCTCTTGCAGCCGCGCCGCCGAGGAGCCATGGCTGAGGGACGCGCCGCCGACTGGGAGATCGACGTGGAGAGCGTGGAGGGGGAGGTGACCGAGGCCCCCGGCGCGCCGCGCAGCAGCACCGGCCCGGAGGAGGAAGAGGAAGGGGAGGAAGGCGAAGAAGCGGCGGCGGCGGCGGCCCCGCGGCGGGGCGAGCCGCGGAAGCTGAGCCGCACGCCCAAGTGCGCCCGGTGCCGCAACCACGGGGTGGTGTCGTGCCTGAAGGGACACAAGCGCTACTGTCGCTGGCGCGACTGCCAGTGTGCCAACTGCCTGCTGGTGGTGGAGCGGCAGCGCGTCATGGCCGCCCAGGTAGCCCTCCGACGGCAGCAGGCCACCGAGGTGAGCGGGGACGGGGCGGGACGGGACGGGGCGGGACGGGACGGGACGGGACGGGTGGCCCCGGAGCTGACGGCGCCGCTCGATCACTCTCCTAGGACAAGAAGGGGCTGGCGGGGAAGCAGGCGAGCCTGGAGCGCAAAGCTGTGTACCAGAGGCACGCCCGGACGCCCAGCCTCCTGGCCAAGAGCATCCTGGAAGGTAAGCGCGTTCCTGCCCCTCCACGGGCTGCCGCCCAGCCCCGCAGCACCGACCGGCAGCGGGGAAACCCCTCTCTGGCCCCGGAAACCCCCCACACCTCCCGTCCGAGGCGCGGCTGCTCACGGACAGGCGTGAGCTTCAGCGTTATTTCCCGAAATAAACGCGGAACGGCGTTGGAGCGCGCACCGCTCCCAGCGCGAGGCGGCGGGGGCTCCTGCCCGTCGTGGCTGGAATCGATGTGGCAGAATTTCAGCCGTCCGCCCCCCCGGCCAAAATAATGCCTGAAATGCTAGCAGCAGTAATTTGAAATTTGAGAGTTACTGTTACAAGCTGACATTCTTTTTACATGACTACCCAGCAGCGTTTTCCAGTGCAGGGTAATTTATTCGCGGGTGTTTTTATCAGGAAGTAAATAAATAAAACAGTTGTGTGGGGTTTTTTTCTGTTTGTTTTATTTTTTTTTGTTTTTCTCTGAACACTTAACACAGCAGCACCATTTGCGGCATTATCAATAGCCAGATATGTATAATATCTTTATTTTTTTTTTCCTTGTCGAAAATAATAACTGTGGGAGAATGACATTTTAAAGGTGGATATTTTAGTGACAGAGTTTATCTTTTGTTCCCCAATCCCTCTTCTGATTGTGCCCGAATTTATGTCTATCTCTGCTTTAATTACTTTCCAAACTGTAGCCTCATAAATCTACTTCTCAAATCTAGATTCTTTCCCTTTTTTTTTTTTAAAAAAATAGAAAACAATTTTCTTTGCTTGTGCAAGCACAATTAAAATTTTGTCCAGTTAGAAATCTCTAATTTTTGTCTACAGTTCACTCTTAAAAAAAATAAATCTCTTCTGTATTCTTTCCTCTAATTTATCTTAACTTTCTTTTTCTTTTCTCCTAGTTCTCCTTGGAATTTTCTACCATCTGTAGCAATGTGTACATAGTGATTCATCTTTAGAGAATAGAAAAGGCATCAGCTGTAGGTATAGATATCTTCCTTGGCAATGGGGAAAAAGGAAATGTGTGAAAGGAATGGGAGTGAAAACAGGTAAAACCCTGTTCTTACTCATGTAAGTAGTTCCATTAATTCAGTGGGATTACTTTTCTGTGTAGAGCAAACAGGATTGGACCCTATTGGTTATATTAAATGAATCCAGTTAGCCTGGTAGTTGAATATACTGGAGACTAGATTTCTATGTTTTATCGAAGTTCTCTTTTAATTCAGAAGAAATAAACTATTTGAATACTTTCCATATTTATTAAAAAAGGATGGTTACCTCCTTAAACTGCATGAAGCAATACCAGTCATAACACAGCCTATTTTTTTTTTTTTTTAACCCTCTGTTAAACCTGCTGTTTAGAAATTGGTTTTGAAATTACTCATCAGCTAGCTTTGAAGCAGACTACACACATCAGAGGAGCAGGGCTTCCTTATTGGTGTTGAGGAACTTGTACTGATGGTGCCTGATGGCGCAGGGAGCTGAGACTCGGTGGCCTGGTGACATCAGTAGGAGCAGACGGTGACCAGGGTTTGTAGGAAGTGCTCTGCGCCTGGTGGGACTGGCTCCAAACAGGGTGCTTTTACAAACACAGCTTTAATGGTTTTCCGATGCGGCTTCTTTCTTAATGCTGCTTTGTTGTTTTAGGTTACCGTCCTATTCCAACAGACCCTTACCTGGGAGGGAATTCACCCTTGCCACCTCCTGTAAGTGACAGGATGAGAAAGAGACGGGCTTTTGCTGATAAAGAGTTGGAGAACATTATGCTAGAGAGAGAGTATAAAGAGAGAGAGATGATGGAAGCTACACAAGCAGCTGCCCTTTTTCTCCCTAACCGCATGATGCATGGAGCTGAATACAATTCGTATAAAACAGCCTTCAACACTACTCAAGCTGAGACTCCAAACAAGGAGTTTTGCAATTTTTTGCCAACCTGCCTTGATCTAACCATGCAGTATTCAGGATCCAGCAACATGGAACTGATTTCTTCAAATGTCAGTGTAGCTACTACCTACAGGCAGTATCCCCTGTCATCCAGGCTCTTAGTGTGGCCCAAATGTGGTCCCATTAGTGATGCTCTCCTCTACCAGCAATGCCTGTTGAATGCTACTACTGTCCAAGCTGTCAAACCTGGGACAGGTTGGGATGCCAAGGTCTCACAAAGCCAGGACTGTCCAAACACCGATCACGACATCATGTCTCCAAAACTGGAAAATTCATTCATTCTGACCCACACGCAAGACGTTCAGCAGACATGTAATGAGATGCCATGCCTTCCTCAGGAAGCTCGTGAGAGATCAGCTTTCTCTCCTCCAAAAAGGACTTTCTCTCAAATTTCTGATAAGGATTCTCTGACTCCTCAGGAACAGGTATTAAGCAAGATCAGTAAAGACAGTGCCAAGCCCCCTCCACCGTTCAAATACAGTCCATTTCAATCACTGTTCCAGCAAAGGCTTCCTGACAGATCAGGAGCAGAATTGAGAACATCCTTTGTGAAGGAGGCTTTTGAAGATGCTCCTAAGAAATACAGAGAGTGTGCCATTAAAGAGAACCAAAAATACAAGTTTACAATAGGCAAATGCACAAAAGACTTATTTGCGGCCAAACAGCCCACAACAAAACTTTCAACAGCTGAGCCACTGTCATTTTCAGTTGAATCCATCCTTAAACGACCTTCTTCTGCAGTTGCTAATGTCTCTCAATGAGTAAACTATACCTTCAAAGTAGTGAGTTTCTATGCTTTGCCTTCTGCAGAATTGCTACTGCCTGCCTTGCCCCTTAAAAGATTTGTAGGGAGGATTTGCTGCTGTAAATGGTAATCCTTTCTTTTATCTCAAAATGATGTAGATAAATATGCATGCTTTCTCTTCTGAAAAAACAAATATATTTAATTTTTTAAAATTGAAACTGCATATATAGACTGTAAAGTGTTGTTATTTTAAGCAGCACTTCATTCAATAAAATGAGATTACCTACAAGAATAGATGTATTACTGATCTCTGTTTTCTCTCTGGTGTGTCACACAGGCAAGTGTGCCCTGCTTTCAAAATATACTTATTCTTTTATCTGCTATTATCGATGTATTATCTTAGTGGGGTAAGTGGTCATTTTGGCTTTGAACCTTCAGTAACTAAGGGACAAAGTAACAATGGTGCACATAGGTTAGTGTGAATTCGCAAGACCTTTTTTATTAACTTATTTGAGGCTTGGATCAGATTCCAAATGCCTTTCTTATTTTGAAGGAGGGACTGCATGCTAGCGTAAAGGACTGTTTTGTTCTACTTCCATACCTCTCTATAAAAGCTTCTGTTCCTAAAGCAGAAGAGTAACTAGATTGGATTTGGGGACGAGGGCTTTGGTGAGCTTGTGGATAAAAAGTCAACATTTTTAAAATTCTTTTTTTTCAATAAAAGCTCTGTTTTCTCTTTTTTTTTTTTTTTTTTGTTTGTTTGTTTTTGTTTTTTAATTTATAATATTCAGCTGACTTTACTCTGGATTTTCACCCCTAGAGTATTTTCCTTTTAAAAACATTTCACCTTTGACCAGCAGGAGCTTGAGATTCTTGTGCTGAGGCAATTGAAATGACCTTTAGGTTGTAAAAATGATACAGAGAATCATCACTGCTAATGAGAAACCAAGTCCCGATCCCTCAGTTTTGTAATTCTATGGCCTTTTGCAGAAATGGCAGAAATAAAGGAGATTAACCAGTAGAATTTACCTGGGAATGTGGAATACCCTCAAGGCTGTAGTAAAAGGTGTTACCAGCTCTCTTTATGACTGAGCTTGAAGCTTTCTGAAGAGTGGTTTTGTAAGTTTTTCCCTATATGTTACTGGTTGCACATCTAGTGTGCCTTGGTTACCTTCCTTCCTTAACATTTTTCTCCTGCAGACAGTGCTCAGTCAGCTGAAAGGAGCTGTGGTTTGTTCTTGATTTGTGCTATTTTCTAAGGACGATTTTTGTTTGGTATTTGTGAGCAGAATGTAATATTTTCTGATTTTATTACACCCGCTGCACAGGTTGAACGCTTATTTTGCTGTGAATAAATCTGAGCTTGTGAAGCTCTGATTCTGTAAGTATCTCTGAAAGTGTTTAGTGTTTCTGTCAGGAGTGTTGTTGCTGAATAGCAGGACCCTTTTCATGAATGGGAGGAGTCCTCTGTCGTGGGTGCTTTTCTAAGCCACTTTGTTAAAGCGAAGAACACATGGGAGAAGACACATTCTACGTAATGTATAAATTTTTATATAACACATCTGATAAAACACATACAAGTTTTATGTCAGGAACGTAAACAAATGTGTTGTAGTTTAAAACAATATTGGGCACTAGCTAAAGTTTAATTTTTCAAAAACATTCATACTAAGTAGATTATGCCTAGATGAAAATACATTTGAAATGTAGTGAGATGCTTATAATTTTTTCAAGCTCTGTCCTTTATTCAGTTGCCATTAGAGGGAGTTTTTACTTACTTGAGTGCTAAATCTGCTTGTTAATCAGTTTAGCAGTCAGACCAAGCTAAGCAGCTTTTAGCTGAAGTAAATGGAGTAAAATTCTTCACATTTCATATTTGTTTGCTTTCACCATGGCTTCCTTCTTCAACTTTGTTGAACATTAAATGCTAACAAGGTGATTTAATTTAAGCAAGGTTTCCTTTGTTAATAAAAATACAATTTGTTTTGTTTTTCAAGCTGCTGGCATAAATGAGGATGACGGATGAAAGAGAGTTCAATAATCTATGTAGTGAACCAGTATTGGATACTGGAATCAGTCCTGCATAAATATTTTTTTTTACCTGACAGTAGGTGCATCTAACATTGTTCCATTTCACATCTGAAATATTTTTTCCAGGAAGTCACTTTCTTTATTTATTTCTTAAAAAAAGACCAGAAAACCAAAGCCCTCCATCAGACTGGTAGCTCTTGACCTTTTAAAAAAACAGTTGAGTTGAACAAATTCAAACTCTGAAGATATACCAAACACTAACATATACATATATATATACACACACACACACATGCATTTATATATATCTAATATATGCCTGTTCCAGATAGTTTTGTTCAAATCCCAATCATCAGAATAGGGGTGACATTTCTATCAGTATTTGAAAAAAATGTGACACTTGCTCATGTCTTGCTTCAGTTTCATTAATTATTCCTCCCTGTAGTTAGTTTCATTTCATTTCATAGAACCTGGACCTTACCTCTCATGCATCTTGAAAGGTTGTTGCCTCCAGATTGTTTTTTTTCTTTCCTTTGTTAAAACCATGTATAAAATATATTGTTCATGGAGACGATGATTAGTAGCTTGAGCAAGATAGTGTATACACAAACAGCATGTGATTTGCCTGACACATCTTTGCAGTGGAGGTAGAATACTCTTGCCTCTTTCAGCCATGTGCTTCTCTCAAGCAGGAGTAGTGACGTCTGTGTGTGCTGTTGTGGCCCTGCAAACTCATGGAGAAGAGAAGTCATTGCTCTGAAACTGTCTAGCACTTACAGGTAGGCAGTGTCTCCCTGGCAATAAGTCAGCTGTTAAAACACCCTATGTTCCCTGCTTCTTAAATACATTTTTTGTGGCATTTGCTGGGTGTGTGGACCCCATTATCTCCTGCACAACATGGTTAACTGTCCCTGATTATGAGATGCACTTTTGTGCTGTGCTCATGGACATCAGGTTGCATTTCCCTTCTGACCTCAGTTTTTCTTATGTGATGGTAGAACATGCTTGTTGAGAGGCTCAGCTTTAGTGTTGGGATAGGAAGCCAAGAACCTGTGCTGGCTGTAGAACACAAAACAGTTGTGGAAAGGAATAAGAAGGACAATTATTCACTTAGTTTGCAAAACAGCAAGCCTGGCTAATGGTGTTGTCTCAGACAGCCAACTGCTTGTTGGAAGTGCAGGCCCTCCATATGCATGCTGAGACAAAAATTTTTATAGGTGTACAGAAGTGTATAAATGTACAGAACTAGAGAAACTGGGAGATAATAGTACATCGGATAGTGCCTGGATTACTACCTGGCCCAGGGGCAAGGAGTGGGTGGTGGTGAGTCCACTTGAAGAAGGGATAGATTATCGACAGCTGCTGAGTGACATTGCTTCTCTCTCACAAGACACAGGAGAATTGAGAGAGGGGCTGTGTTGGTTGGGGGGTAGAGTCCCTTCTGAATAGGTGTGGGCTGCTGGCTTTCTCTCAGGTGCTGGCTTCCTGGAGGTGACTCCGCCAGCATTGCTGGCTTGCCACAAGGCCTGGCTTAAAACTGCCATTTGTCTTTGACGTCTTTGAATCAGAATATGGATCTGCTGGACTTGATGTGGGTCAAGACACAGAGTTTGGTGAGATGGCTGGATAACCGGACACAAGTCATTCAGCTGATATCAAGACTGAAATGTCTGTGAAACCATTAGCTGAATGCATTTGCATTCTGGCCAGAGAACAAGACTTAGTCCTGTGCTGTCTGCTTGTTCTTCTGCTATGACAAAGATCTCTCTAAGTTTTGCAGTCTGAGCTCATTGTCTCCTTGAAATCATCAAAACAAGTCACTTTTCTGCCAGCTGTGAAGGCACAAATCCCTGTAGATTTAATGGCTCTGAAGGCTGAACATTAAGCAGTTCCCAGTTGCTATTGTTCTGGAATTAGAGAATTTGACACTCTCTCCATTTCTTTATTTTAAATGTAGAACAGGGAGGTATGTTCTCATTTTGATTTGGCAGCCTGTTTGCACGATCAAGCCTTTCAGTTCCTGTACCCAACACTTTCCATTCAGCTGACCTTGATGTGAAATCTGCCACCAGGAGACATTGCCTGTGATGGATGAGATTCTCACTGTATCACTAAGTTCCTTCTCTGAATTTCTGCCAGCTCACATAATGCCTCCTTCAACTCAGATGGTAGTGATCAGACATTTTCTGTTTGCTTGCATTGAAACCAAGACAAACTGTGACTTATGCAAGAAGGGCTGTTGGGGAAGCATGTGTGGGCAGGTGGAAACCAGTGGCAGGAATGTCAGTGTGACTGGGGAGACAGGAACCAGTTGGTGTTTTATGGGAGGGAGCGTCCCCCTTCATAAATAATGAAAACATGTAAAGTAGAAAAAAAATATAAAATTGTTCAGCACTGCCAGTTGCCTCTCTTCCTGTCCCCAGCACCAGCTCTGTGGACAAGCTACAATGCTTTTTCTGTCCAGAAACAGGTCAGAAATCAGGTTCATGGGCTGCGTCCATCCCTTTTGTTGTCATTTGGAGTTGGTAGCCAAAAGCCAATGAGCCCTGCTGTTATTGTGACCCATCACCTGCAGTATTGGTGCTGATGCTGACGCTGTTCCATGGTCACAAATGGAGGGTAGGAGTTGACCTCTCACCCTGAACTCAGCACTCCAAACTTTGCATAAATGTGAGGGCATTTAGGTCTCTGGAATGAAAACTCACTGTCTAGCCTGTGTTACCACAGAACACACTGTTGTGTCTAGTTTTTGATGGCAAGTAAGAGCTTCCACAGGATCAACAGAAAAGAAAGAAGTGATTCTTCATATTCAGTTATGTTGAGATATTATGTTGGAGGAGTTGGAAGAATGAAAAATTCCATTGGAAGAAAGCAGTGGGCCTTTCCCCAATTTTTGTAAAAAAATAATTACAGCTGAAATCCACCCAAAGAAAAGCGAGAAACGGCATAGGCAAGCCTACTGATGTGAACACCAACTGGAGCCTACTAAGATATGTACTTATCCTTGCAAGATGAAGTCTAGAAGTAAATTTAGAAGAGACACAAAGATTTTAGGAATGGTATATTTCATGGTCACACTGTCTGGCTGAAAGCCTCTGTATATATATCTCACTGTAGTTGGCCAAATCTGG